CGTATGTGTGTGCACGACGATCCGTGTCTGCGCGTCTTACGGGATTAATACGTGCTTTTTACCCGGGTGGCCTGAGCGCGCGCGCGCGATAGCAAACTGTCCTTTCGTCGCAGAGCGTTTTAAACAGGTAACTCACCACCGATCGTTGTGCGCGCGTCTTCGTTCTCTCGGAATTGCGGTACGCCAGTGTGAGAGGAAGAAAAACCCGCGGGCGCACGCGATAACGCGGACAATCGTAGTTCTCTTTTATCATATTTGCAGCGTATCTAATCATTTTGTTAGAAATAATAATAGATATTTTTCAAGCAAAAAATCATTTCTAAAAAGAAAATATGCACTCTGATGTATTTTCAAATAATTTTAACATGCTTTTTCCGCAGGACATAAAAAATATATAAGATGACAATAAAATCTTTCCGTTCGTTTTCAACGGTCGAATTTGGTCGTCGGACGTTTCTGTTTGCCGAAGTTTATAGTTAAAATAAATAACATTTTGACAGATTAGATTTTCTGGTGATAATTAGAAGAATGTCTTCACGCACACGTGTACAAACATCGATCGATCTTTCTCGGTTGTCGGTAGATTTTGTAGTTTCCTCAATTCAAGTACACAAACACTAAAAGAGAAAATCTGGACAAAAGTCTAGACGCATATCGGTCTAACAAAAAGATGTTACTCATCCCATTGTTGGGTTTCTTTCGGCTTGTTTTCGGAAAGGCTTGTAAAACCATTTCGTTTAGGATTGCTTTGCCGCAAATTTGAAATTGCCACAATTGTCATATTATGATGTTTTTCACATAGAAACTTTCAGAAAGGAAAATTGCAATTCATCATAATTAAAACCCCGGAATGATAGCAGCAAGGACAAAAGCATATTCTTGTGCACAGAGAAAGAGGTTTCGACAGAAGGATCAAAGCGGTGAGCAATATTTTAAGGGATCGTTTCCGCGATTGCTTGCCATTAGATAAATTCTTCTATTTCCGTTTCACAAAATTTGACCTGTCGACAAAAGTAGACACAAGTCAACGCTTGTACCAAAGGAAATATGTTGAAAGAATTTTGAGTGACAATTTAGTGAACGGAAAGGAATTTGACCATGGTCAATCCATAATAATTACGTAGAAATTTGACAATACAATATTAGTTATAAACATATTAACAAATATAAATAGGACATTTATAAATTAATATATTACATTTCTCAGCTGAAGTAATAAAAATTATTATATTACATTTCTCGTCATTCAACTTGCTGTTATGATGTGATGTATCGTGCATATTTCTTTCTTTCCGTATATTAAATAGCAAATTGTTTGAAAGTAGAACGATAAGGGGCAATTTTTCAGTTTTACGCAAATTGAAGGTGCCACTGAATTGAATAAACCACACGCTATCCAGACATCAAATTAAGTGGTATCGCTTTATCCCATTGAAAATATTGTAAATTTTTCACATAATATCGCGCACGATGATATATCTCGATAAATTGTTTCACAAAATCGAAAGGATGCCGATCGATATCTGCGCAATGATAAATGCATATTAGGCCTGACACACGACTGGCCAATGTACTTATCCATTAAGCTGGTCGCGTAATCGCGCACTTGTCCCTAGTACGTCATCAATCGTCGCCGCAACCTTATAGCACCTTCTTCGAGACATCGACATGCCGGGAGAGAACGCCTAATAATAATATCATCCGAGAAAAGTAAACGCGTTTTGAAGTTTGTGATGTGTTAGTATGCCGCGGCGGCGATGATCGTCGCGCGCTAAGGTGAGAAAAAGTCTCGTCATTTAATTAGGGAACATCTAGAGCGCGCAGCTCGTAACGGCCGCCGCTACTATTAGTACCTTTCGTAGAAACGTGCTTCTGAAAAGCAATTAACACAATGCATAGCGCTCGTGTTAGGCGCAAAGCGATTTCGCGTCGCCCTAGATCGTACACGAATTTCTTCGCTCACATAAAAGCACTTGATTTTAATCTTTAAGTTAATTTTAACATTCATTGCTAGTTGAGTCTGACTTTACGCGGGAAGTTTGATTAGATGATGTTATTCTTAATTTTACAACAAGAGTTATATTTGCTTCCAGTAAAAATTTCTTTCAAAATAAATAAGTAAATATAATGTTTTTTTATTCTAATAGTAATCAATTCTAAATAATTTTTTAAATTTTATTTTTAATAGCCAAATATTATTTCAAGCATAATTTAATATTTGCCACTCTTCTATCATTAATAAAAATTCTATTTCTTATTAAAATATTGATACTAAGTTATTGCTATGCAATTTGGTTAATTTGGGATTGTTGAATATATAACTTAACAAAGTATTTGGTGAACGTTTTCTGTCCGGTAAGAACTGCAAAAAGTGTCGTGAGTAATTACATAATATTTCCGGTCGTCATTCGCGAAACATTATTATTATTATTGACGTTACCAAGAGGCGTGTCAGAAAATTTTCGAGCAGAACGGAAGAAACGGCTGCTCACCGTAGCAATCTCTCACATGTCACTTCGGGACATCGCAGATGCGTGATCCACGAGTGAGGAATCAATAGAAAGTTAAAGATCATTGTAACACGTAGGTTCGGGTCTTTAGCCGTGATCTCGACTGACACTTATTGCCCGACATTTCCGTCATACGAAAACTCAAAGGAGACAGCGGGCGAAAAATATCCCTATATTATATCTGTATGCCTGTCACTCTTTTTTTTGTTATTGGAGCATTACGCGGACATTTGAGAAATTTATCAATTAGGGGTTAACAAATTATACGCCTGTTGAGCCGAGTAATATTATAATCAGCACGTTAAATCAACATGCATTATGCATTAACGATAATTAATTACATACACGCGCTTTATTGTTAGATAAGCAGGCGTAATTTATATTTAACTGTAATTAAGTTCGAGTAACTGCAATTTAGAAGATGTCATGTTTCAAATTTGTTAAAAATCAAGGGCTTAAGTTACTATCAGTAATTAAAAATGATTTAAAATTCTTTAAATATTGCACAGTTAGAATTGTAGGAATATTATAACGAGATATGAACTGACTATGATCTGTTTACATGATACAAACAATATAATTGTTCGGACATTATCAATCGGCTTCGGTTGAACGAAAAAATAATATAAGGACCGGCTACGACGGATCGGAGCCTTTAACATTCGAGGTTATCGGAACAGACGTTTTTTCAGAGTCGAGCTACCGATCGGTCGATGAATATCGTTGCACTCGTTTGCCTTTTTTTATACATATATATTATCTTGATAATTGTTATTATTATTAATTATTTATTCAGTATTCCGCCTTTACACAATTGACCAATTAATCACGAATTATCAGTCGCAAAAATAACATCAAATGTTCTGCTAAATATAGAATTGAATAACTTTCACCGCAATCAAATGTAACGTATGTATTGTATTATAATACATATTATTATAATATATTTATTCAAAATTACAAATATCTATAATTAGCATCTAATTATGTTAAATTGTATTTAACGTCGAAAATTATGTTTATTGCTTCTTTACATGCGCAATAATATTCATTACCAGTTGAAATGAACGCTAAAAGATTATTTCGAATATTACTCGCGATTAGTCTGTCACTTTGTGACACTGCATACAGACCTAAAAAGATTGCAGAATCAAACGATTCGAGTGAACTAGAATTAGTGTCTGCTGACTCGTATTTTTAGCACCTGCCACACTTAACGCGCCACGAAATTTGAAACGTTCCATACGTCGGGCCATAGGACTGCAAAAGAGTAAAATAAAGCGCCGCGCTTTTGAAAGGATTGAGCGCGGGCAGTGCGCGGCTTCCTGACTCTCGCGAGGAACATCAATCAAAATTAAAGCCCGTATTCATCGCCGATATTTAAGCTCACCAATTACAAGCGATAGGTTCTGCGAGCGATCAGCAGCATGCGTCTTCGCGCATCTCGCCGTCCCGTTTGTCGGGATATAAACACGATGTAGCCGCGGAATTTTAAGCAATCTCGGAATTGCATAGCCGAATATTCGGGGCTCATTATAACGTACGATTTGCATTTTTTTTATGTCCTACTACGATTATATCGTAGCTAGTATTAATTTTCTTATATGAGAGATTGGAGTTTTAGGAATTGCTATAAACATTTAAATTGCGCGTTGCAATAAAAGGCCGAGCGAAAATAGGAAAGTGAGATATAAGATCATTCGTATTTCTTAACACTGTTTTTGCCGCGCTGGCTAAGTAATGTTGCCGTCGCTCGGCTCGAGTGCCTCGTATCACGCAAAGCAAAATATTTGTACCGCATAAAAATGCTACAAATATATATCTTATATTTATAGGTAATATTTTAGAAATAATACTTTAATGTGCAAAAATTTTTATTTAGTGCGAGATTAATAATTGTGATAAAAAAGTATTGTTATTGAATTGATTTCTATCTTTTACTGCGAAAACACGTGGCACGAGAATTGAGTTTCAATTTTCTATTCATTATTAGCATTATTATTATAAATTATTGACCGATTATTTTTATTAAAAATACATGAAATTGAGATTTGAACACAATGAGAGTATGTTAACGTCTTTAGACTCTACTCTCTAATAGAAGATCTCTAATAGAATTATGCAAGGTATGCAAAACAGGATAAATTATTTCGATTCAAGTATTAAGTTATTAAATTATTGCTATCAAATATTAAAGATGATTTCACACACAGAAGTATTTCTCAATAATTGACGATTAAATCGCACAATAGAAAATACTAGCTTTTTGCAGATGAAACATAAATAAGATCCGTTCTAACGAAATATTATTGAAACGCTTATTTCTTGACAACTATTGACGTACAAATATTTGCACGTTTACTCTACCAACTGACATAACTTTCTCTCGAAAACTTGGGAAAATTTATTAGGCGGATATTTCCAGAATTTAATCGCAAACAAGTGCGGAAAAGGCACGTAGGAGAAAGTGAGAAATTGTCGTGCGCTTACCCTGACTATGCTCGCCCGCATCGAAGGTTTTACTGGTCATTTGGAAAAGAGCGTCCAAGGGACTGCCCTGCCCGGTGGTTCTCTTGCCGTTTTGACCGGCGTGCGAGCCGTGCTGTTGCGGCGCTTTCCTTTTGAACTGCTGCTGCTGCTGCTGCGGCTGTTGCAGCGCCGGATGATGCAGACCGGGATGAATGCCCGCGTGATGGAGCGCGGCGTGATGATGGTGATGATGGGCGAGCGGGTCCGGGCTACCGGAATCCGACACGGAGCTCCTTCCGGACGACGACGAACTGCTCAGGGGCGGTTCGCTGATGGAGCTCGACATGGACGCGAGTGACATACCCATCAACGAAAGATCCCGGGGGCCGGTCGCGTGACCCGGATGACTACTGTGGTGATGATGGTGGTGCAGATGATGATGCTGCTGCTGCTGCTGCAAGTGATGACGGTGCTGACTGCCGAGGTTGGAGTCCACCGTGTCCCACGGACGGACGATCTTCGCCTTCGGCCGGTGCGATAGGATATCCAGGATGCTAAAAGACTTAACGCCGCGGTCGTTGGACTCTCGCTCCCTTTCATCCTCCTCGTCCGAATGCTGCATCTGCACCATCTTGAGCCGCTTCAGCGGCTTGAAATAATCGTCCGTGGTACCGGCGGCTGTCGCGCCGTTGCTGCCGGTCCTGCTGTCCACTTCCTCCTCCTCTTCGTCCTCCTCCTCATCATCCCTGAGCGTCGTAACCGAATCGCCGCTCTCGCGTGTTCTGCTGCTCCTGCCGTTCGACATCCTGTACTCGCCGTTGCGGGAGTAATCTCTCTCTTCATCCTCCGCTATCGAATCGCGCGGATACGTTCTCCTAGGACTCAGACGTTCAACGTAGTCCTCCCTGGATTCGTCCTCCGTGTTAGGCGTCACTAGCACTAACGGCAGCGGGCTCGGACAGCCCACGGAGATCACGTCCTCGTCGTCCTGGACGTCTCCTCGACTCGGCGAGCCTCTGCACGACGTCCGTCGGTGCGCCGGTGAGCCGCTCACGCAGCCGGGCGTCGCCGCGCTGGAAGATACCGTTGTCGACGGCGACATCGTGTACGTTTCCGTCATCTCCGTGGTACACATACCGCGGGCGAAGAAAAGGGCTAAATTAGAAAAAAAAGCGAAATTGCTCGAGACACTCGATGCCCGATGCTGGCTTTTAACAGCCAGTCGAGGCCGCGACGAATTTATTCAAATACCGCGCATCCTTTCGACGCGCTCACGCACTTCTGTCTTCGGAAACTGTTCACGCAGGATTGTCGCACTATCGTGTCGAGTCTCATTCATCGGCCTAACATGTCCGAGTCTTCTGTCGCGAGCACGATCGTAAAACTATCACACTGTTGCTATCGAAGGCCTATCAATGCGCTCGGATCCTCCGTCATCGCGCTTAAATCGACATACGAGTAACATCATTAGCTGCCAAATCAGTCTCTCATTTTCCGCCAAAACATTTTCCTCGAACTCTGCGGCTTCCGTCGAAACAGTCAGCTCAGAAGGACGTCAGATATTATTCTGAGAAATATCGATTTGCATTCTTCTTCACTTCAACGCACTGTCACCGTTTGTTCGTTCTACCACCACCGAATATGAAACTTCATAGCCTATGAGTTTCGATCTGCAATTCCACGTTTAAATGTCCGCGACAACCTGTTTCGCACGAGTGGAAATTCGAGCGGATGTCAGTTCTCTGCCCGATAACTTTCGGCTATTCTCACTGTGAATGAACACCAGCACACAGAGCGACGCGTCCGGATGTCGAGCGTTGCGGAGATTACCCGCTGCGAGCGGAGATACGCGCGCGAAACGTCAATACGTCGGCGTTTAATGAGTTTCGGAGCAGAGGAGGCCAGCCGGGTGCCTCCTCTCAGGCCAGTCGAAGCCGGTGACGCGAAATGGTACGGGGCTTCCCCGGCGTCCGCGTTGGGCAGGCGTTCTCCTCGCAGCCGGCTCGGCGCACGCGTACGAGGACGAGCGGAGTTGTTCGAACCCAGCCGTAAGCTTGGATGCCGCTGGGTCGCTACCACGGCACCAAGCGCCTCCTCCAACGTAGAAACGTGCCCCTTTGATGAACCCGTGGGCCGGACTTGGCTCGGTACCCGCCCACAGTATAACGTGTAGCCAGCACGGTAAAATGACGCCGCCGCCGTCGCCGACACGGGATGGAATTTTTACGAGACGTACTTAACGTCCCGCAGCGCCGCGACGGGCGCGACCGTCCTTCCTTCCTTTCGTCCTGGTCTCTCCTCTCTATCCCCTCCCCCTTTCGAAGGAGCACCTAGTCTCGCACTCGTCTCTCGATCCCTCTTCCTCCGTCACGTATCGCGCTCCTCTCGCTCTCGGATGACGTGGGACTGACCCTCCACGACGCGGAGGGCGACTAACGAGGGCCCACCGTGATTTCGTCCCACCCGGAGAGCGTGGATTTCGGCCGCCGCGAGCGGGCTTGAGAACGGATTATCGGGCGGAAAGTTAACAGCCCGTATCTCTCGATACCGGAATGGACGACTTTGGGGAGGCGAATACGTCTTGATAGTGCGCTGTATTCAGCAGGAGGAACCGCGGACTTTGTCTTCCGTAGTATTATGCATTATGCATTATGCATAACATCTCTATAATTTACGTTTGTCAGTTACTTCCTCTATGATTATCCACGTCGTTCTGTTTTATATGTTATCGCAGTTTCTTGAGTGCGAAATATATTATAATATAAATAACGCGGTAAAAATAGTTTCAATTTTTTTATTTGACACAGCACTTGCAGAGTGGACTCTGTAACGTCGACGTGTAAATTACACTTGCAACATAATAAAATTATCAACTCGCGCATGAAAACTCATTAACGTTAAACCCGATAAGTTGCATAAAAAGTGTATTCTATCGATGAAATTTTAAAAGAAAAGATATTTCACAGAGAGAATCTTTCGCTTATAATCATGACAGATCGATTCTCAAAGATTGCACCATTATTACTATTAAGTTAATCTTTAACAAGCGGAAATATTCTCAGTAAATCATAGATAGCTGATCGAACGTAATTCGAATTGTCAAAAGACACGGAAGATAATGATGGCCAGCGTCGATAATGTCGCCGAAGATTGCTGGCCCGTAACATTAAAAGAGTATCGCGACTATACGAATCATTATCTACAGTCCGATTTGAGAATCGATATAGCTATCTAATGGCGGCAATCTCGTCGACAGTAGTCTACAATGTCTTAGCATCGCTCAATATTACTCTTCTATCATAGAAATATTAAATTGCACAAGTTAACGACTTTCACACGCGAAAGTCAAATAAATTCTCTACGCTATTCCTTCTTAATTATTTTAATTATCTGTTTTATTGATTTTATTTCGAAATCAAGGTATCTATATTGTAGAAGAAGATTTCAATTATCTTGCATATTAAAGTAATTATTGTCATTGTAGTCTTGGTGTAATCTAGAGCGTGATTATTCTACAAAATTTTTTAAGCTGAAATGTTTTAGAAATTGGGAACAATTTTAATTAATTTATTATTGAGTAACGATAAGTTTCAAAAATTTTTTTATAATTTATGGAAATTGAAGAGCAAAAATAGAAAAAACTGTTCCCATCAAATGAAACTGTTACTCATTGTCACGATAATCTTTTGTATTGATGAATGAACGAATTGATGAATGGAGAAAAAAACGAACATGTATGTTTCTATTGAACAAACCCAATTTAAAAAAACCAGAATCAAAGACCATTGAATTCTGCGGCGTATGCCATTCTTATTCTTTTCACGTGGCTTTTAGCCGAATGGAATCGCCGGACGTATCCGACGGACCGTTGTGCGTCTACTTTGGCACTCTCTTTCAAATATACTTCCAAGTTTTTCAGTTAACAATAATGGCTGCAAACATACAAAGTTTGTTATTTTTTTCTAATTTATTTTAATTTTTTAATGGAGATAGATATATGTCAACAATAGGATACATTATTTGAGAGCATTATTGGACACGTTTCTTGAATCAGTAGATATTCAATACATATCGAATAATTGATGAAGTATTTTTTAATCGTTAGCAATACTATTAGTAAAGTAACGTTAAGTAAAATTTTATTTATTAGTTGAGGATAAAAATTATCTGTCGTTACATAAAAGAAACATAGCAAAAGTTGCGTAAAAATTCATATCACGTGTTATATATGTCGCATATGCGTACGGTACACGTGAATGATTTCTATAGATCATAAATCGATATAACCCACCGATTTGTGATGCAAATGTGAATTTATATAACAGCAAGAAACAATTTGCTTTCACCGTGCGACGAGTCGCTTTCGTGCCTTCGAAATTTCACAGAAGCGGATTTCGCGAGCCTGTAATATGAGCACCGATAATTGTAATAAATCGCGCTAACCAATTTACCGCGCTTAGCGTACACGACGATGCTAAATTGTGCGCAATTGCATGCAACGTGTAATCTAATCCTACCGACATCCTGCCTATCTAGATTGCCGCGGATTAATAGTCGTTATTTCGCGTAAGTAGCATAGCTGAAAAATACATGCTGCGTAAACGCGACGTGTATCATACACGGTGTATAAGGAGCAATTGTCTCAGTATAGACGCAATCACGTCGCGCAGGATTGCTGTGACTCTCGTAACAGTGTTCTTGAAATTGATGAATTAATACAAGCAGGAAACTTGACAAGTAAATTTTATCTGCAAAACAAGTAGCTTTCTACGTGATATATTGAAGTGAAAAGCGAATTAAAGAAGAATTTTTATTTTTATTATCTCACTTCAGTATATTTTTTTAGATTTCATTAAGCATTGTTCGTTAAATTGAAGTTTGTCGGTGTGAACAAATTCCGCCATCAAAGACATCTATAAGATGTCTTTGAAATAAATGGATGACTCGAGATAAAATGTTCTCTCATTAATTTGGGGTCTATTTTTTCCCATCCTTGATTGGATTTCTTTCACAACTTAATTTTTAACATTAGATACCTCTGATGACTAGCTTGTGAGGTTCAAAGTTTTTTCAAGTCAAGTCCACTCTGAGATGTGAAGAATAAGACTTCACTTATCATTAAGAAAAAAGTATTGGTTGTCAATCATTCTTAGCATAAAAACAACCGACACCTTGACAATCGCGAAGGCTAGACTCCGAATGAATCGAAGAACACACGCACATCCAAATCCGCTCATTTGCTTCGCGGACACCCTGTATTTAATGTCTAATACTCGGCGTCACGCGATGGCACGCAAGCAATTAAAGAATCGTAGGGAAACATTTATTGAATCAATCAGCGGTGTGAAACGCACTTCGGCGGCGGAATCCCGCCGATTGCGAGGAGCGCGCGGCTCGCCTCTCATTCACCGAAATCAGTAAAATCTTTTTAAGAGTCCCCTTAGGTTCAATTTAGCGGGCAGGAGCGGTGTGCCGACCGCTCTCTTCTACCCGACGAGTTCGACCAACCGGACTGTCTGTCCGTCCGTCCGCGGCCCTTTTTCTTCCTCTTCTTCTGCGTCCTCGCTTCTTCTTCCCCGGCCTTCCATGTCGGCTTTTCTATCCCGATACAAAGAGGCGCGAGCGAGCCTAATTATTATGATAGCTCGCCACCGGATTCTGTCGGTCCCTTTGATCTGCCGCCGTTTAGCATGATCCCCCGATATTTAGGTAGGCTCTGTTGTCCAGGAGGGCTTGGAGGGGGCACCCCTCGTGCGGTAGAAGAGGAGAGGCGGTGTGTGTATGCATGCGTGTGTGAGCGCGGATGAGAGGGACGAATGGAAGGATTTGGGGAAGGAATCGTTGGTGGAACAGGGATATGCGATAAACTATCCATCAATGAGGATTTTTTCCCGAAAAATTTACGCCTGTCTCCTCCCCTTCTGCCTCCGCTCTCCTTCGCTTCTTTTCTTCGTCTCGGTTGATTGCTTCCAGCAGCCACTAGTTTTGTCGTCATCGGGCCACACGCGAACGCGGATTACATTAAGACATTTTTTACGAAGTACGAAAGACCGGCCTTTGATTGATAATTCTTTTTTCTCACGCGCGCCGCGTTCCATTGGAATACGCGCTCGGAACAGTAAAAAATAGACTGCCTTTTATATGGTAACGAGATAATCGTTTAAAATTTTTCTTATCATTTATTTTTGATCCCGGAAATTAATTTACAAAGTTGCAAATAACGGGTGTATCTTCTTCTCTTCTTTTGAACGTGTAGGTAATTTTATAAATTATCTTTAATATTATATTTAATATTATTATCTTTTATTTATGACATTATATATATGCATACAAAACTGTCGTTTTCGCTCGTAAAGTTGTGTATGAAATAATTTCAAAATATCAGAGTAATATATTATATTATGTCAATCACATGCGATATCATCACTATCGCGAGTCTATTGTAAATCGACTTTCTCTCATAAGAATTCGTGACATTTGTTAGAATGTCAAGAGGTCACGTGTTATTGAAATCAAGACGCAAGTCTATCCGCTTTTCGGATTAATTCTGTCAGACTCGCTTGCGTAAATACTGCATCATTTGATTGCGCTTTGACTGCGCAGTATCCGTTTAATAAAAGTTAGATCAATCACAAAAAATTTTAAATACCTATCTAATTATATAAAATATCTATGTTAAAGTCTAATGTGCTTGTACAAACTCCGAGATGAGAAACGTCCAAACAAGATATTTAACAAATGCGTCGCCAAACAGGACATGGATCCTTTCTAAATACGGCACTAATTCGTCTTAAAGCTACCTGAAATCTTCAGTTTGTTTAGGTATTTATGACATGTTATAATTTTTAGTCGCTTAATACTAAAAGCTTTCTTAGTTTTCTTAACTCTCCGTCCACAGATGGGTCTAATGGACTTAATTATA